CTGTGTTTCGGTTTGAAGGGAGGGATATGGCGTGAATTTACAGGGTATAGAGGAATAACATCTGAGTCCTCAGGAATGGCAACGCATGGGTAGGTATCATGGGCAAAAACTAATGCTTAATTTATGACTCACTTTAAAATATGTTACACTAAGTCGTCTGCGGAGATCGCCTACGGTGATAAGACGAGCTTTAAACTGACAGACGTACCTACAACCCCACATAGACGTAATGTTACGAATTAATTCAATCAAAGAAACTTTATAGTTAATTAATACTGTTAACTTTACCTAAACATACTGGATCACTTGAAATTTAATACAAACTATTAATAGAGGATTTGAACGCCTAATTGGCCAAAAGGATAGAGGATGGAACTTCAAATTTTTGTTTTTTTATTGGATGAAAATGGTATGGTAACCCCGCCTGCGCTAATGGGATACGCTGACGGGGCACCAGTGACGGGTGATCGATGAGGATAAAAACAGGCCAGTTAGCCCATCATGATGAATTCATCAGGAATTAATCATGATAGTTTCCAGGTGGAACCGCGAGGAGGTCGACCTGGTTGGATATATTGCTAGCAATGGGATTCTTAGTCTCCATTACTATTAATCCCTTTTCCCCCCAGGAACTTCAAATTAGGAAAAGATTCCCTAGGGGGCAGTACTAGTGTATTACAGTAGCTGTTGGAGAGCAGTTTAAAATAGTTGTATAGAATAGAAACATTTTTCGTTTCTATTAACGAAATAGCTCATTCAGCAATATCGCTGGAATGACATGACGAAGCTCAACAGGATCGATGCCAGATTGCAACGGTGCAGTTGTGCAGAGCACACACTGCACAACGCTGCCAGTATCATATGCATATACGTGACTATAGGGAGTTTAGGTTGGCGTATTTAAATTATTTTGTATTAGCAATCCGTCCAAACTTATACAAGTAGATAGATAGAAAAATAAATTTGTATTTAATATTATATATATAATTTTTTTTTAATGGATGATAATGGTATGGTAACCCCGCCTGCGCTATCGGTATACACTGGCGGGGCACCAGTGAGGGATGATAGGTGAGAATGACAAGGTAGGTCAGTTAGCCCATCGTGATGAATACACCTCGAATTCAGGACGATAGTTTTCAGGGAGGACCACGTGGAGGTCGACCTGACAGGGTATATTGCTAGCAATAGGACTGGTAGTCTGCATTACTAACAATCCCCTCTCCCTCTATATATAATATTACCGCCGTGTAATCCCGGCATACAATGGGCCACCCCTTACTTTTCCGTGGGTGTAGTAAGAGGCGACTAAGAGAGAGCGAGGGATGGGCAGCAGCGTTCATCTTTAAACATCAACAAAGCCCCTCTGTCCCATTCGTGTTTCTACCGTGACGCAGTTGTGTTTGCATGGCTGTGTTTCAGTTTGAGCGGTGGGATATGGCGTAAATTTACAGGGTACAGAGGAATAACACCTAAGTACTCAGGAATGGCAACGCATGGGAGGTATCATGGGCGAAACTGTATACTCTGTTACGTCCATGGCACTGATCATGTCTATAGGCGACGGTTACCACTTTCCATCAGGTGGGCGGTCAGCTTGTTTGCCATTGTAAGTTGCATAAAAAAAAACCACGAATAAAGTAAACCGCGAATATAGGAATTGAGTTGCCATTTTTTAATCCGCGAATAATGAAAACGTGAATATAGAAATCTTGAATAAAGAAATTTTACTGTATATCAAATATAATTTCACGTCAATTCGCTGTCTATAACAAATATAATGTGATTTTATTGTATTCTTACATCGTCATCGAACGGAAATGATTTTTTTACAATACAAATCATTCTTACCTATATCAACAATGACTGTACCCACATCACAGGTTCCAAATAACCAGTTCATGCCAGTGACAAAAATAATTAATATTCGACATTTTGGGAGCACCTTTTAGAAATTGGGATGCACGAATTTTTACAAATCTATTCTGAGTGTCCGATATAGAATACATTATTTATTATTTTTACATTACATTATTTACAAATGTAAATGCAAAATACTATGTATTTTGTAAATAATTATATTTACAAATATAATTATTTACAATTTACATTACATAACATGTATAACAATTAAGCGACCTATTTCAATTTTTTTTTTTATACAACTGAGAATGGCAAACAAGCTGATGGCCCACACGCTGAAAGTGGTAACCGTCACCTATAGACATGAGCAGTACCATGGACATAACAGAGTATACTGTTTCGCCCATGATACCCCCCATGCGTTGCCATTCCTGAGGACTCAGGTGTTATTCCTCTGTACCCAGTAAATTCACACCATATTCCACCCTTCAAACCGAAACACAGCCATGCAAACACAACTGCTTTACGATAGAAACTCGAATGGGACAGAGGTACCCAAGCAATCGACTTTTGTACAAAGTCTACCTCTGGGATGCACGAATTTTTACAAATCTATTCTGAGTGTACGATAGATATAGAAATTTTTGCATTATTTACAAATGTTATTACAAAATACCTTCTATGTATTTTGTAAATAAATGTAAATTATATTTACAAATTTAATTATTTACAAAATACAAAATTTACAAAATACATTATTTACAATTTACATTACATAACATGTATAAAATTTACACATTCTATTTCAATTTTCTTGAATGTATTTCCAATCGACTTCCAAAAGAAGGGGATTCTCGATTCGATTGTATTTTTCTTTTGTTTTTACAACACAGGGGGCAAACGAGCATGCGGCTCACCTGATGGTAAGTGACTACCGCCGCCCGTGATCACCCACAACACCAAAGGCATTGCAGGTGTGCTGCCGGCTTTTTAAAACAGAATATGCTGTTTTCTTAAAGATTGTCGTGTCGATTCGGAAATACTGCTGCTGGAAGTTGATACCAAAGAATGGTTGTGTGTGGAAGTAACTGTTTTTGACAATTCGTTTATTTTATCATCATCATCATCATCATTATACCAGCCGTTGACCTGAACATAGGCCTCCTCCAATAGTTGTTACGACTGACAGGGTTGGCAACCGCAGTTAGTCTTCGGTGATGTTGTAAGACGGACTCTGCTGCCAATCTCTCGATTGTTAAGCTCTTTTATTCGCCTCATTCGACATCCACGGAAAAGGAAGGGGCGGACTCATTTTCATTATGTCTTATTGAATCAGAACAGATGTACAGCAGTGAGTTTGAGCAACAGTACAGTTAGTTTGGGTGTTGGGACAAATTAGTTACTTGGAACATACTAGATTTGCACATATTTACATTAAGTTCTGCGAACGTCCCGACTGTAAGTAAATAATGGGAGAGTGGCAACCCTAGTCTAAAGGGTTGGTCTGTTTAAATTTAGACAAAATCAATACATAGGGCATGCCTGCGTTGATGTTACGTGAGTCACTTTTCATTTTACCGGTAATGGGTTTGAGTTAGAGCTTGGAATATTATACGTATTCGAGTTCTTTTCCATGATGACAATGGAATGGTAGCCCCGCTTACGCTATCGGTACATACTGATGGAGTACCAGTGGGGGATGATAGATGAGGATGGAAGTAGATCAGTTGGGTATTGTGATAAATTCACAGTAAATTAATCCCGATGATTTTTTTTTATACCACTGAGGTGGCAAACAAGCATACGGTCCACCTGTTGGTAAGTGGTTACCATAGCCTATGAACACCTCTACCTATGAACGCGTGCGTTGCCAACCCTGAAGAAACCTCTTTACCCCTCTTTTGAAGAACCCCATACTGCAGTCTTTTGAGAAAACCTCGGCAGGGAGCTCATTCCACAACCTGAGTGTTCGTGGGAGAAAACATCTCTGAAACTGCGCAGTACGTGACTGTTGAGGCTGTAGGACATGAGAATGAACTCCCTGTCGATGGCGAGCCGTACGATGGTAGAAAATGGCTGTAGGCATCATATTGAATAATTCCTCTGAGCACAATCCATTGTACAGGCGATAGGAAGATCGCGTAAAGGTCGACCTGATAACGTTTATTGCTAGCAATTAAGACACTAGCGTCTACTAACATACTAACAGCCCCTTCCCCTCTAGCAAGAACTATTAGTTGTAGATGATAGAATTCGATTTAAGAACCAAACCCCAAAGGACAAGCAAGATGAAGTGGAAATGAGCTGATTACATAGCTCGAAGAACCGACAACCGATGTGGAGGAAAGGTCCTTGATCAACTTCGGTAGATGGAGCGGCAATCACAAATGCATTATCGTTTTTTAATGGGTGAAAATGGCACGGTAACCCCGCCTGCGTTATCGGTATACACTGGCGGGGTACCAGTGAGAGGTGATAGGTGAGGATGAAAAGGCAGGTCAGTTAGCCCATCGTGACGAATTCAACGATAAACTAGTTACAATAGTCTCCATGGGAAACTGCGTGGAGGTCAACCTGATAGGGTATATTGATAGAAATGCATGGGTGAAGATGGCTGTTCTTTGTGGCAGTGTAAAAGGAAGGCCCATCTTAAGCAGTGGACAATTAATTAGGATTAACCATACGTGCTATTGCTGTATCGCCGAGTAGGTCCCGGTATTTTTTTTATACAACTTAGAATGGCAAACAAGCTGACGGCCCACCTGATGGAAAGTGGTAACCGTCGCCTATACACATGAGCAGTACCGTGGACATAACAGAGTATACTGTTTCGCCCATGATATCCCCCCCATGCATTGCCATTCCTGAGGACTCAGGTGTTATTCCTCTGTACTTAGTAAAATCACGCCATATCCCACCCTTCAAACTGAAACACACCTATGCAAACACAACTGCTTCACGGTAGAAACACGAATGAGACAGAGGTACCCAAGCAATCGACTTTTGTACAAAGTCTCCCTCTGGTAATATGTTGTATGGCATAAATGAACAATTCAAAAGAGATAAATAACTCTGAGCCTTCCATACTTCATCTTCCAATAACTTCACAATAAGGAGAAATCAAAATTGTTACTTACTTGATAAAACAGCTGGTACTCAGTGTCAGTGAGCCTCAGTGCCACCTCCTCGGGAAAGTGCAGCAGACTCTTCAGTGACGTGAGTTCTTCATAGCTTGTGTCTTCCGGCACTGAACCTGGGAAATTAGATAAGATTTATTAGAATATCGAATGACAGATTGACAGAAAAGCAATGGGATCCTTGGTGCCGACATCTCTAGTGACATACAGTTCCGTGGCCATCTCGAAGATAAGGTGAAGCTGGCATCCAAAAAACTCGGTGTGCTTAAAAAGAGCGAAGCATTACTTCACGCCGGATCAGCGAATAATGCTTTACAAATCGCAAATCCGGTTCCATATGGAGTATTGCTGTCACTTATGGGCGGGAGCACCTAGATACCAGCTTGAACCCTTCGACTCAGTGCAACAACGAGCTATGAGAATTGTCGATGATCCCAGGCTTGCAAGCGGTATCGAATCCTAAGTTTTAAGAGAGATTTCCTCACTCTGCGTGTTCTACCGCCTGTACCACGGATTGTGCTCAGAGGAATTATTCAATATGATGCCTGCGGCCACCTTCTATCATCGCACTGCTCGCCATCGACAGGGAGTTTACCCTCATACCCTACAGCCCAAATGGTCGCGTACAACGCGGTTTCAGAGATGTTTTCTCCCACGAACACTCAGATTATGGAATGAGCTCCCTGCCAAGGTTTTCCCAAGAGACTACAACATGGGGTTCTTCAAAAGGGGGGTAAAGAGGTTTCTTCAGGGTCGGCAACGCGCGCGTAATACCTCTGGTATTGCAGGCGTTCATAGGCTACGGTAACCGCATACCATCAGGAGGGCCGTATGCTTGTTTGGCACCTCAGTGGTATAAAAAAAAAATATAAGTTCTTTATTAATTGTTTGTTACATTCACATACGAAGTAGTGTTACGACGATATAAAAAATACGGTTTTTTCATGTAACTTTCGAGTAATATGACCGCACCATACGTTACAGTTGGAAGAAGTTCGCTAGACTTGCAGTAGTTCGAGCGTGTTTGCGTACTCTCTATATCCAGTTTTAGGTTTAATTTTAGATAATAAATAATACCACTAGAGGGAGACTTTGTATAAAAGTCATTTGCTTGGACACCTCTGTCGCATTCGTGTTTCTACCGTGAAACAGTTGTTTGCATGGCTGTGTCATATATAGCATACGTTCCACCTAATGGTAAGCGGTTACCGTAGCCTATGAACGCCTGCAATACCACAGGTATTACGCGCGCGTTGCCGACCCTGAAAAAAACCTCTTTACCCCCCTTTTGAAGAACCCCATGCTGTAGTCTCTTGGGAAAACCTATCTACTATCTACAAAAAATATTACTTTTCGAAGAGAGACAAGACAATACTTACTTTCATCATCTTTTTCAAAATCATGCCCCGTCGAGGCGCCACTGGGCCCGTGTCTGGACCCCTCTATCATCTCACAAGCACTTTGACACTAAAAATATATATATATATAATGCAACCACTATCAACACAATATTTATCAATTGCACTGACACTTTAATGTTTTAAAAGCACGCCATCTAGTGGTGGTAGGATTGAACTTCATGATTGGTGCAGCGCCATCTGTTGTGAGCCCATGTGGAATTTTGCGGCGGTCGCCATTGTTACGCGCATTCTTCAACGGTTATCTGTAACAATAAAAAAGTTGTTTTGTACAAGAACTGGTAGAAAAATATCAAATTTAATAATTCAAATAATGTTACAAGACTGAGGGAGACTTTGTACAAAAGTCGTTTGCTTGGCCACCTCTGTCCCATTCGTGTTTTTACCGTGAAGCAGCTGTGTTTGCATGGCTGTGTTTCGGTTTGAAGGGTGGGATATGGCAGTGAGTTTACAGAATAACACCTGAGTCCTCAGGAATAGCAACGCGTGGGGGGTATCATGGGCTAAACAGTATACTTTGTTATGTCCACGGTACTGCTCATGTCTATAGACGACGGTTACCACTTTCAGCGTGTGGGCCATTAGCTTGTTTGCCATTCTAAGTTGTATAAAAAAAAAACTGACGAATATGTATATTTAATCTTTGTCAGATCCGTCAGCATTCTACGACTATGACGACATAAGTGCCAATATTCGACATTTCGAACTTTAAAACAGAGACATCAAAGGACTTGTTTCCACAGCCGTAAAACATACATATTAAAAAAGAAGTTGTACTGCTGCTGGATTATTTATACTATGGCAATATTGGCCTGTCACGTTTGCACATTTCAGCAATCAATCTAATGGAGTAGAGTATCGCTTACTACAAATACTAGTCACGTGATACCCGCTGCGTGAAATACTCGCGCCTCGTAACGAAAACCTACGTAGTGTTGCCAGATTATGTATTCTCCCCATTATTAGGTAAAAAAAAAATTTTGTTGGAGAAAAATTTCGGTTAATTTATTTGAGAGTTGAGAAACGTATATACCGATGAATAGATGTTTGTTACTCTTTCATACAAAAACTATTGAACGGTTTTGAATAAATAATAGAATGACAAGCCCGCCTGCGCTAACGATATACGCTGTCGGGGCACCAGTAAGGGATGACAGGTGACAATGAAAAGGTTAGCCTATCGTAATGGATTCACTTGGAATAGAACACGATCTTTTCCAAGGGTAACCGCGAGGAGGTTGACCTAACAGGGTGTATTGCTAACAATGGTGCTATTAATCCCCATTCTTAACAATCCATTATCCTCCCTATACGGGTAGGTTATATTCTAACTTAGCACATAGGATGTGTTGCACTTTATGCAGAGATTCATACGAGTAAAACCATAGGATACAGCTAGTACTCTCATAAAATCGAAGGTTTTTTTATAGATGGCAATGCAATGGTAAGACCACCTACGCTATCGGGGCACCAGTGAGGGATGACAGGTAAAGATGCAAACAGGTCAATTGGCCCATTGTGATGAATTCCAGAAGAATTAACCGTGGTGTTTTCCAGGGGAAACAACGACCTCACTGAGTATTATTCTCAATGGAGACTGGAGTCTACCAGAGGGAGGCTTTGTACAAAAGTCAATTGCTTGGGTATCTCTGTCCCATTCGTGTTTCTACCGTGAAGCAGTTGTGTTTGCATGGCTGTGTTTCGGTTTAAAGGGTGGGATATAGCGTGAATTTACTAGGTACAGAGGAATAACACCCGAGTCCTCATGGGCGAAACAGTATACTCTATTATGTCCATGGTACTGCTCATGTCTATAGGCGACGGTTATCACTTTCCATCAGGTGGGCCGTCAGCTTGTTAGGTAATTATAATAAATAATATAAAATAATAGACGTAGAGAGAGACTGTGGTGATAGGCAAAAAAAAAAAAATTTGATTTGAAATTTGGGGAGAAATAAAAAGTTACCTTATGGCAACACTGTCTACGCATCTGCACCTGTTATTCGATACTTTTCCCAAATCTTTTTATTTGACAGTGCTTCGTCATATATTCAATTTCAGCGTCCAATTCTCCGTCGAGTTCTTGAGAGATTATTTGAGTGGTAGTGTAGTACGTACTTCGGTATTAAACGTGGTGAATTATATTGCATTTTTATAGGACTTCCGCACGGAGGGGTTGCTCGACTCGTCCGTTTTTAGGGTTCCCTAATAAAGGTGGGACCCTTAGGGGACCACTTTATTTCCAATCTGTCTGTCAAGATCCTTTTTCGACCGACTTTTAGAATAAGGAGGTTTTCGATTCGACTGTTTTCTACCTTATAACTCCGTCAATTGTAAACTTATTTGAAAAATTCTTTTTTATTTGAAAGGATATACTTACAGATTTATATCTCAGGAACGCAAGGAGATATCCAGCTGGTATTAATATCAAATACTCAAGTTTGCTAGTTGGAGTTAGACAGATAGATAGATAAACACTTTATTTGAGCCATGTTATGACACACGTAAATTTACAAATGAATTTATACAATCAAATTATTTACAATCTTTAAAATATACAACAAAAGATGAAATATGGAAATATGGTTTCGCCACGTGTGTCGCAGTGACCCAAATATGCTACAGCTCAGTGACGGTTTTGCTTAAAAGCAAAGCACTGATTTTCAGCTGCAGCCTGAAGTTAGGCTACACGGACGCGTGCAACGAACCGAGAGTGTAACCTGTGTAACCAATTTAACAGCCAAAGATAAAATTGTATTATATAGATACATACTTACATAAATAATATATTTCATTTATTTATTTATTCATTAGTACATATAGTATGTGTACATGGCGGACTTAATGCTAACAGCATTCTCTCCCAGTCGACCATAGGCAAGTGTCAGAATACTCGAATGCGGTACTAGTAATTATTGATATACATACATACTAAAATTACATATATAAACGAATAAGTATATATGAATAACAAATATACTTACACATATATGACATATACTATTTATATTATACGCGAAACTGAGAATAATATAAAGCACTTACTGCTCGGATAAAGTAAAAAAGTGAGCGTGAACGCTTTTTTTGAACATACAATATAAATAATTCACCACAATAATTATTATATTTTGAGTTACTAGATGGAGTGACAACCTCAAATACAGAGTTTGCAATGTGAACGCAAAAATGTGTTTATTTACGACATCACATTAGAAACCTCTAAATTTATCAGTGTTTCTCTACAATATTATGCATGTATTATACATATAAACCTTCCTCTTGAATCACTCTATCTATTAAAAAAACAGCTTCAAAATCCGTTGTGTAGTTTTAAAGATTTAAGCACACATAGGGACGGACAGACAGCGACATCGACTTTGTTTTATACAAATTATAAAAAAATATAATGTATGCTTACGAAAGTATTAACAATATATTTTTTATCAATTATAATTTGTACAGAACCCTCGATTCGTGAGTCTAACTCGCACTTGGCCGTCTTCTCAATGTTACGCGATATCTACCAAATATCTGATAATTTGTTTTGCTATAGAAAAGGCTTCTACAGTGTTGGCATCGTTT